GTTTTATCTTAAAACGCACGATTAACAATGGAAACCTGCCCGAATTTGTATTAATTTGAAGAGATGCAACAAGAAGAACTGATAATCTGTGGAAACAGTCTCTGAGTAACGGTGTGCCTGTGCTGCAGGTGGGAGGAGTGGACCCTAAGCAGCTGGCTGTGTATGAGGAGTTTGCTAGAAACGTTCCAGGTTTCCTGCCAAGTAATGACCTTTCCCAACCAACTGGCTTCTTGGCTCAGCCCATGAAGGTACGTTTATTTTCAGGGACCCACGCACTCATCAAACACAAGAGCTGAATGCTGAAAAGTCCCACAGTGTTACAGAACTGATCACATGTTTAGAAGTTTATGTGCTGCAGGTAGCATGGAGAGATTATCATTTATTATTCTGTCATCATTTATGAATGTTCAGTGGATGAGTTGCTCAGAAAGCAACATTTAACTAAATACTTCTTGTGTTGCTGTTTTAACTCAAACTTTTTTCCATGTTGATATCTCAGCAACAGGCATGGGCGACGGACGATGTTGCTCAGATCTATGATAAGTGCATAGCAGATCTGGAGCAGCATCTTCATGCCATCCCTCCAGCGCTTGCCATGAACCCTCTGACCCAGGCCCTGCGAAGCTTGCTGGAAGCTGTGGCTCTGGCTAGAAACTCCAGGGATGGCATTGCAGCGCTTGGCTTGCTGCAGAAGGTGGGATAACTAAATGTTGCTGGTTTAGTTTTGGCTCGTAGACGTCTTCCACACAGTAGCTTCTCCTTTTGTGCATAGTTTTGTCTTCAACAATCGCTGTTAGTCGGGTCAGGTCTTAATGCTCATTCCATCCTCCAGGCTGTTGAAGGTCTTCTGGATGCTACGAGTGGCGCCGATGCCGACTTGCTGCTTCGCTACAGGGAGTGCCACCTGTTGGTGCTTAAAGCCCTGCAGGATGGACGTGCCTATGGCCCGCAGTGGTGCAATAAGCAGATCACCAGGTGCGTCTATGTTGGAGCAGTTCTTGTACAGAGTGGATATCCTGCACCATCCTGAAAGTTGTTGTAACATTTTCCATGAATCTGTTAAATTTAGTGTCTCTGGCTTCATGTTCGCAGGTGTCTGATTGAATGCCGTGACGAATACAAGTACAACGTGGAGGCGGTGGAGCTTCTGATCAGGAACCATCTTGTAAATATGCAGCAGTACGACCTGCACCTGGCACAGGTACACACACACTTCTGCTTCTGCGGGTAGCCGTCTTTGTTCACTGCCATTAACTGGTCATCACATCTGTTTTGTAAGTTGGTGAAATAAAACTTCTGGAGGCATAAACATGCTTTTTCTGATTGAATCAGTTTCCTTTGCTGTTGGTTGCTCTGTTGATGTTTTTAAATTAATGTTTCCCCTCCTCCCTCCAGTCAATGGAAAACGGACTGCACTACATGGCGGTTGCATTTGCCATGCAGTTGGTGAAGCTGCTGCTGGTGGATGAACGCAGTGTGAGCCACGTCACAGAAGCTGACCTCTTCCACACAATTGAGACTTTGATGAGGACCTGTGCGCACTCCAGAGCTAATGCACCTGAGGGGTAATGAACCACAGCAGTTCATTAGAAGTGGAATGATTGTAGCTACAATCTGAGGCTGGAGATTAACCTTCAGGGCTGCTTTACAGCTCCATTGGCCAGTTTTATGACGCTAGTGCAAAATCGTGTTTCCCTTTGCTCTGTGATGGCTTTTGTTCACTGCGCTTACATGTGTTTGATGTTCAGTGGTCTGCTCGTCTGAGGTGGCAGACTCTAGCTTGACCTTTGCTCTGATGGCATGAATAGTTCTGGAGGTGTAGTGTGCTGAGACCTGATTCCTGCGCCCTCTACCACCTCGTTTCCAGGCTTCCCCAGTTGATGGATGTGGTTCGCTCCAACTATGAAGCCATGATTGACCGGGCCCACGGCGGACCCAACTTCATGATGCACTCTGGGATTTCACAGGCGTCAGAATACGATGATCCTCCAGGCTTGAGGGAGAAGGCGGAGTACCTCCTGAGGGAATGGGTCAACCTGTATCACTCAGCTGCTGCTGGCAGGGATAGCACCAAAGCTTTCTCTGCCTTTGTTGGCCAGGTTTTTATCAGCATTTATTCGTTAATGGGAATGATTAACAAGTAGTACTGTTACTCATGTTTGCATCCCCGTTTTCTTTTTCCTAGATGCACCAGCAGGGAATTCTGAAGACGGATGACCTGATCACTCGCTTCTTCCGGCTGTGCACAGAAATGTGTGTGGAGATCAGCTATCGGGCGCAAGCTGAACAACAGCACAACCCAGCAGCCAGTGCAGCCATCATCAGAGCCAAGTGTTACCACAACCTGGATGCCTTTGTGAGGCTCATAGCTCTGCTGGTGAAACACTCTGGAGAGGCCACCAACACAGTGACAAAAATCAACCTCCTCAACAAGGTGCACCCGCGTAACGCTGAATATTATTCTGATATATCATTTATAGCCCCGTTTCACTCATTTTCATTATGGTATAACCTTAATATCTCCACAGGTGCTCGGTATTGTCGTTGGCGTGTTGATCCAGGACCACGATGTTCGTCAGACTGAATTCCAGCAGCTGCCGTATCACCGCATTTTCATCATGCTGCTGCTGGAGCTCAACGCCCCTGAACACGTCCTGGAAACCATCAACTTCCAGACACTCACGGCCTTCTGGTAAGTAGTCGCTTTTTCTGAAGGCTCTCGGAGAAACTGTAGTTCGGCGAGTTCTTGTGATGTTTTCTTCGGTCCATGTGGTCGTCCAACGTTTGCTTTATCTGCAGCAACACCTTCCACATCCTGAGACCCACCAAAGCACCTGGTTTCGTGTACGCCTGGCTGGAACTGATTTCTCATCGCATCTTCATTGCCAGGATGCTTGCACACACCCCGCAGCAGAAGGTCTTTAAGGAGAAATCTTACATGAATAACGTCACATGGCTGTTTTTGTTTGAATCGTGTTTGAATATTTGTTCTAAACCGATCCTCTAGGGTTGGCCCATGTACGCACAACTGTTGATTGATCTTTTCAAGTACCTGGCCCCTTTCCTGAGGAACGTAGAGCTCAACAAACCTATGCAAATCCTCTACAAGGTGATCTTTCAGGGTCATTTTAATCAATATCCTGGCTTTTAAGTGTCAATGTTGCTCTTGAAGCAAGGAGTGTTTTGAGTGATGTGTAGAAACTGTTCTGATCCATTCAGGGCACGCTGCGAGTGCTCCTGGTCCTGCTTCACGACTTCCCAGAGTTTCTGTGCGATTACCATTATGGCTTCTGTGACGTCATCCCACCCAACTGCATCCAGCTCCGCAACCTCATCCTCAGTGCCTTTCCACGCAATATGAGGCTTCCTGACCCGTTCACGCCCAACCTGAAGGTTCGATTAGCGCTTTGGTGTGAGTCGTGGATATGAGCCGAGTTGGTTTCGAGACCGAAAGATGTAACAGGCCTGTCCTTTATCGATTCCTGCCGCAGGTGGACATGCTGAGCGAGATCAACATCGCTCCACGGATTCTCACAAACTTCACAGGTGTGATGCCGTCACAGTTCAAGAAGGATCTGGACTCGTATCTGAAGACGCGCTCACCTGTGACCTTCCTGTCTGAGCTTCGTAGCAACCTGCAGGTAGGCTTGGTGTGCGTTTACTGTAAATCAGGAGGAAGAGAAGCACAAAGGTGTGACGAGCTCGTGGCGGTCTTTTGTCTCCCAGGTGTCCAATGAACCAGGAAACCGCTACAACATCCAGCTGATCAATGCTCTAGTGTTGTATGTGGGGACGCAGGCAATCGCTCACATCCACAATAAGGGCAGCACCCCCTCCATGAGCACCATCACCCACTCTGCTCACATGGACATCTTCCAGAATCTGGCTGTGGACCTGGACACTGAGGGTAGGCTAGCAGCATTAAATTAAGGTCTTTTCATAGATATTTAGACACTCCTTAGAAACCAACTGTGTTTAAAGCTCTTTTCACCCAAATAACGAATGTCTTTGGATCTTGGTAGTGCAGACGGAGCTGGATTGTTAGGGGTTGAGCATCTGACCTTAAGCAAATCAAAGCTCTCATCAGGCTTCTGATTTTCTTTTTCCAGGGCGTTACCTGTTCTTGAATGCGATCGCCAATCAGCTGCGTTACCCCAACAGTCACACTCACTACTTCAGCTGCACGATGCTCTATCTGTTTGCCGAGGCCAACACTGAGGCCATCCAGGAGCAGATCACCAGGTGAGACCGATCCGAGGTCCGGACGATGTCGTCGAGCGTCGTCTACGAATACTTGGTTAACGTTTCCTCCTCGTTCTTTAGGGTTCTGTTGGAGAGGCTGATAGTGAACAGGCCTCACCCGTGGGGTCTCCTCATCACCTTCATCGAGCTGATCAAGAATCCTGCCTTCAAGTTCTGGAGCCACGACTTTGTGCACTGTGCCCCTGAGATTGAAAAGTACGTTTCCTGTTTGATATGCGATGTTGGGGAGCAGCTGTTGTTGTGGCGCCTTAAACCGACGCTGATGTCTTTTCCTCCCGTCTCTCCTCAGGCTGTTTCAGTCCGTCGCCCAGTGCTGCATGGGACAGAAGCAGGCCCAGCAGGTGATGGAGGGCACCGGTGCCAGCTAGCCTGTGTACCAGCCAGCTCGTAGCCCTCCGGAGAGATGCTGTGGCCTTGATCCACCCCCCTCACCACCCCACACATACACACCTCCCTCTTTACTGTTGGCACTGGATAAACTGGCAACCACAGTCATTTGGACTGTGGATGAAAGGACTACTGCTCATGGATCTAGTTAGGTTTTTTTTTCCCTCCCCCTTTTTTGTCATATCCCTTTGGAGTTGATGAGATGGATCGGGACATGCTGTTTAATATACTTTTTTTGATGTAAATATTGGAAAAAAAAGGGGAGAATAGGGGAGTAGACAAGTGGAAAGCAATGCACATGTCAAATAAAATGTACCTTGACATGTAAAGACATGTAAACATATTTTCACTCACTACCAAAGTCCTCGGTTTGCTTCCCTCCCACACATCCTTTTTTTCCTGGCTTTTTTGTTGTTTTTCTTCAGCGGCTGAACGGTAGAGTGACGAGAAAAGCTGCCTACTTTCATTTGATTCCTTTTATCTCCAAGTGGGACAGAAAGATGTAGTTCTCCCATGTGGGGTGGGGGTCTACTCCTGGTGTGTTGGTGGAGAACGTTTGCTGATGGTTTGTCCATTTGAAACTGGCTCTGGAAGTCTCTCCCTGGCACGTGTAAAATTATGCAGTGATGGAAACCTTGTATCTTGACAAATTTGTATAAAGATCCAAATTGAAGAACAACAATAGAAGGACCAATACAGCCCATTTTGTAACATTTTGAATGTTTTGTAAATGTATTGGTCCATGTGTTGTATTTTGTAGTCCTTTCTAGTTTGCCTTTAGTTCTTGCTACTTAACTGCAGTATGCATACATACAGTAAATAAAGCATTCAAACTGCTATTTCATCTGTCTTCTTTCAGGACTGCATGACTAAGATTAGCAAAGTGGGACTAACTGTATTAGCAGTAATACGTTTTCAAGCATGTTAGTTTTTAAATATTAGGAAGCCAGAAAAATGGACTCTTAGAGCCAAATGCTTTTTGTAGTCAGCGAGTTTCTGGCCGTCTGTTTGCTAAAGAGTTCATTTAAATTTGAACTGTTCTCCAGAAAACATTTGGCTTATCCATATGGGCAGTTAGTGATTTCAGTTAAGCATAAAGGTCTTTGCTTTGTAGCCGGGCTGCTTGGTTGGCGCACTCAGTCCAAATACTTCACTGTAGACGGTGATGCTGGTGCAGCAGCAGTTTATAGTTGAGTCTTTGGGATTGTTTCTAAACATCATAACCGGTTTCCTCACATCTGAGGGCAACCGGTTGGGTTGGGTTTGAACTGATCATGTAGGGATCTGCAGATGTTTAGGTGATGGTTTAAAGAGAACTTCTCAGTTGGAGAAGGTCCTTGGACTTGGTCAATCTGATGTCAAATCCTGTATATGCTGCCAAAGAGAAACTACCAGTTGTAGACGATCATGATTGTTGATGAGGCTTGGCTGTGTCACGTTAAGACAGCACCACTTGAACAGATTTAAGTATATGAACACTGCTCAAAAGATCAAACACTTAAGCATCAAGTCAAAACTTCTGGGAAGTTAAGTTATCAAACGGGGTTGAAAATCAGTTTCAGCTGCTTTAGTCTTGAAGTTAACAACAGGTTCACATAGGGCTGTGCGATATGACCAAAATCTCATATCCTGATATAAGACATGTATCGTCCTGACAACGATATAAATCACAACAATGTAACATTTTCTGTAAATTCTGTGAATCTCAGGCAGCTCGACTTGCGTGAAGTGTTTCCAGCTGGGCGTCGTGTAGCAGGAGTAGAGTGTTTTAACTGATACATTTTTAGACATAAGTTGTAACGGCTGACATTTTCTTTCAAAGTTTGAGTCTAAGGTTTATTTTTTTTAAGCACCTGACGACTTTTTTGCTTCTCATCCGTAAACTCTCTGCATACTCTTTCACCTGATTCAGTTTATTTTGAAGTCTCAACAGGATCTTGAGCTTTATTGTGAAAGGTTTACGTCAAAAACAGCGGAGCCACGCGATGGTTTTACCGTTGTTGTTGCTAACGACAACACGTAAAAACAGGCACTTGTCCGTCCGTAGTGTGGACCAGGGGTGGGGAACTCCAGGCCTCGAGGGCTGGTGTCCCTGCAGGTTTTAGATGTGTCCTTAATCCATCACAGCTGATTTAAATGGATAAATTAGCTCCTCAACATGTCCTGAAGTTCTCCAGAGGCCTGGTAATGGTAATCATGTGATTCAGGTGTGGTGATTCAGGTGTGTTGACCCAGGGTGAGATCTAAAACCTGCAGGACACCGACCCTCGAGGCCTGGTGTTCCCACCCCTGCACTACAGTGACCATCAAAACCATGAAAAACTATTGCTGTAATCAGTTTATTTTACGACACCACGAAACAAACGATAGCGTAATAGGAAACGATAGATGTTTTTATATCGTTATATCGAACAGCCCTAAGTCCAGAGGTAACAATGAGCCAACGCCCAAAACAGGAATGATTTTACACAACGGTGGGGAACTCCAGGCCTCGGGGTCGGTGTCCTGCAGGTTTTAGATCTCAGCCTGGGTCAACACACCTGAATCACATGATGAGTTCATTCCCAGGCCTCTGGAGAACGTCATGTTGATGTTTAAATCAGCTGTTGGATCCAGGACACCGGCCCTCGATGCCTGGAGTTCGTCACCACTGATTTTACAGGTCGAGGCCTCTGACATTTATTTTTTGACTAGTTCAACATTTGGCTCAGATCAGTATGACTAACAGGAGACATCTGGACCCAAGACAGCACATCAATACATGCTGTTGCCAGAAGGTTTGCTGTGTCTCACAGCACCATCTGAAGGGTGAGAGGAGAAATGACCAAACAGAAACAGACCTGCGGGTGGCTGGAGGGTATACCAGGACCGGCTGTTTCTTAGATTTTTCTGATGAGGATAAGACATTTGAGCCTCAGTGGTTTGGAGAAAATCCAAAATAACTTTTAAAAACTAATTCCAGATGTATGCTGTACTATGACACCACATTCATGGTCAGAGCCTGGTCAGTTCTCAGTGTAATCGTTTTACTACGTTTGCCTTCACTGGACAGTGAAGTCAGAGTCCGAGTTAAAGCGGCTCACGTTCTGTATATTAATACTTGATTTTGTTTTTGCAAGATGTTCTGATGAAATGTGAAATTTCAATATTAA